TGGTATTTCATTGTGTGGTTTGTGTTTGTTTTGGTTTGTTTATTGGTTGATTCATGTCAACACAATGATTCTAATAGTGATATGCTGTGCAATTGAGGCTTGAAATATTTTTTTTTCTCTTGAAAAAAATATCAATGGAATAAGAGAGATATCAGTGTAATGCAAGCAGATTTTTATGTTTTTATGTGAAAGAACTACTATTCAAAACAGTCAATAACAGTATACCCAACGTGTAAGCGTCTGAATACTATTGGTATACAACGGTTCTATTACATGTTCTTGCACCAGTTGGCGCTTCTGGGCTCATTTATATGAGAACTGTCAAGAAGGCGCAGTGTCGGTGTTCGGATGTGTTCGACGGCCAACACTATCTGGCAGGTTGAACGATCTGAGTTTCAGAATCAATCTCTTGTGGTTTACTCTGTCAAACGCTTTACTGAAGTCCGTGTAGAGAACGTCCACTTGCGCACCTGAATTTATGCCTCTCTGGGCATAGTAGATAAATTCGGTGAGATTAGATGCTGTGGATCTGGACTTCATGAAGCCGTGTTGCTTCTTGGTGATTTTGTCCTGTACCAGAGACAAAAGTTTGACGTTCACCAAATGCTCGAAGAACTTCGCCACAGTTTGGAGCTTAGCATTGCAACGATAGTTTTCAATTTTCGATCTCGCCCCCTTTTTGAAAATGGGTGATACACTCGAGCGTTTCCATTTGTCAGGAAAATGGCCAGTTGACAATGATTCATTGAAGATCTCGGTGAGTGGAGCCGCCAAATGACTCGCATAGTTTTTCAGTATCAACGGGTGCATACCGTTGGGACCCGTACCTTTCTTTGTGTTCACGGCTTGTAGCTCTTCAAGCACAAAATTGATGTCGAGCTGGAAATCCTCATTTTGCTTTGATTTCTGTTATCTACTTGTCTGGTATTTAAGAAATTCTTTCTTTAAGTGCCTTGCATGTGAACTTTCCTCATCATAAATTAAAAATACTGAGGCCTCAAAATATATCGGTTTATTATTCAAATTATTGTATTAAAAGCAGATTGTAGGAGGTTTCCAACCGAAAAGTTCAAGTTTTTCTAGTAAATTGGTTTTTTTGTGTGCTCGAACTTTTCACATATAACTTCCGACGGTAATGTAACAGATAAGCATTGATAACTTGCCACAAAAATGTTCCCATGCTTCAATATTCAACATTCCACATAAACCGAGTTATCGTTTACTTCAGCACCCGTCTCAAAGCATTTATGCATTAAATCCATTGTCTTCTCGAAGTGCTCATTAGTTTTATTCAAAAACTAGGATTACCTATATACCGTGGTGGGTGGCCGCGTTATAATAACTTGGACAATATTTTGAGCCCACGTCCAAAATTGCCTATAACAGCAATTACACGAGATCCATTCTGGTACGACTTGGGTGATTTGGGACTTCGCCCCTTCCGAGCAACTTCCGAATTGCCTCCGTCTTTGCGTGACTCATATTTATCACCCATCAAGCGTAGATACCTTTGGACAAAACACCCCATGGTAAGTATTTCCAAGGAATTTTAATGATTTTTACAGATAAATTATTAAGAATTTACATTGTCATCATACCCGAACTAATATCCGACTACAATTTTTTTTCAGCGTCCATTCGGTAAGCATTCATTTTCCTAGAAAAAAAATGTATAGAGATTTTGAAATTTTCGATTTGTTTTTATCTCACTTCTTTTCAAATGGTTGATTTTACAACTGAAATAACTATTGATTTGTTCAGAGGATGAAGCTTGGCTCGACATCCCTTGAAGTTCGAAATGTGCACACCTTTGCCATTTAATATGTTTTTATGTTAATTTCTTTAAAATGCTTTGACTTTGACCAGAATCACGATTCATTTACCTCTTTGATCTTTTATTACTATATTCGAATCGAAGACTCAGGGGTAAGATTTGTAAATAATTGTGATCCATTCCAAAAGATGTTCGATCATTCCTGTGGTCTTTTTATCATTAGAATCCTTTTTCCACAAAACAATCGACACGATACATTCCTTATAAAGTTAAAGTCGTTTTGGAACACGACCGTCCATGCCCAACATACTCCAAATTCAATAAGCCCTGAAAATCGTTCTTCTTCCTCTTCATAGAAGTTTATATTAATTTCTTTATTTTAATTTTAAAATTTTGAATTTAATTTTTCAGCTCATACCCGATAAATCGATTGATACAACCAACTATGACCAACTTTAGGACCATCAAGTCGTTCAATCGAAAGATGAATACAAAAAATTGAAAATGAACGGTAATCTCTACAAAATATTACGCTGTCAATATTATATATGTAGAGATGAACATATCACAATCAAGTTTTCTTTTATCAAGAACCTGTTAAAATCATTTTTATATTATTTTGTTTTAAACCAAAAAAGTTTACTTCTCAAAAAATAACAGACATCATAATAAAATTGATAGTAAAACCAAACATTTGCACTCTTATTTAGAAATATCGATAGTAGGTTCAATGTTTCATACATTAGTTACATTTGGCTAAATAAATTTTCCCATGAAGTTGCTGATGTTGAATGGATTGCGACACAAGTTATAACTTGTGGTATACCACCAAATATGCCTTTGCCATCATTTTAATTACCAGTGGAGTATGAGCGGTGGTGGGTGCATAATATTAATTTTGCCAAACAAAACACGAATATTTGAAATCACTTTCACCAATGAAAATCGAAAGATAATAAATGTCAGTTGAGTTTCTGCATCCAATTATGTTAAAAGTAGACGTAAATGAAATCATATCGACAATAATTCCGGGAGAAAATGTGTGGGACCGCATGCTTGATCACACAGATTATTTTATTCATGGATATTAAAACGCGCGTCAGTCTTCGTTCTCATTGAAATTGCGGTGAAAATAAATGTTTCAGGCAAACGAGTGCACCCTCCATTTGCTCACGCTCACCATTGATTGTTTTACTTATACTTTGAGGCTTAAGCCACACAAAAGCGATGCAAAAACCATCGAAAACAATGATGTTAATCGACGCCTTTTGCGACGCACCGGAACAACATTGTTATTGTTACTACGTGAATGGTAACAGTGCTACCCATGGCAGAAGCAATATTGCAAAATGTTCAAACGACTGCGATTTAGGCAAGGCGTTGAAAATTTAATAAAGTCATCGTTATGAGCGTTGAACGTTCTCCTCAAATCCCTTTAATATTAGTATCAAAACAAATTGCCATCAACTTTTCATTGAGACTCACATTACATGCGAGAAAATAATCAAACGAGACCATTTTGAAAAGCCTTACTGAGAGCTCTACTGAATGCCAAAACGGAAATTTCAAATATAACTGAAACCCCTGCAAGGTCTTTAATTTCTTGTGCGATAATCTCATTATATTGAAGATTTTATTTCTCGATTCTTATTCATAGGCATAAACTTATTTCAAATTCATTTTAAAAAGGCTCGTTGGTCTTTCGGTTATTTGATTCAGAGATTTTATATGCAGTATCAATTTAATTTAGTGCTTTTTTAAATTTTTATTCAGTTTTGGGACAATAGCTCTTTACTATTTTCGTTTCGCGAGTTCTTATTTGGTATATCACTATACTTCGAAAATTTACCCTATCTTTTACATTAGCCAAATTGATCAAATTCAAAAAGCAAATCAAACCTTAAACACACTTAATTACATTAGAATAAGGTGTGTAATATTGGCTATTTTTACCGCTATAACGATATAAACCACAGATATTCTATGCATCGAAAACTTGGCTTCGTTCGCATAATAATACTATAAGAAATGAAGATATTACATCGATTCGATATGATCAACGTTTACCGTCTGGTGGGTAGGTTATGCTCTGAAAAATAGCTTAAGTGTGAGGGTGGCAGTGAAATGGTCGTGCGTTCATTGTTTGCTCGATAACATTGTCTCTACATAAACGAGAATCTCTATCACTAGTCAAATGAAGAAGGGGAACATTCATTGACTCTTGCAGCAAACGTTCGGGCATACCATTCACAGCCACCTACTGACAATGCAAACAAGCATATTGACACCCTTCACTATTCCACGCTCCCTCTCAGAACAATATTCTTCTGTCTATAACAAAACATATTGTTTTTTGAATGTTCTTAGTGTGTATTGAGGGGGAGAAAAAGATAATGCACATTAAATGTGTGCAAACATATAATAGACCGCTGGAACGAAATGGAAAACAAGAACAATATAAAGTTACAATGTTGTAGATAAATTGTTTGTGTGCTTTTGACTCATTTACACGAATGACTAAGTCGATAATGTCCAAGTAAACACGAGGCTGAATCAAACCTATTACCAACACAATTAAATCACAGATTGTTTTTTAAGGCTTTTTAGTGTGTGACGAGTGACTTGAACTAATTTTTGATGCGGCAATTAACGGAAATGAATAAATTACCGATTGTATGTACGATTTTGTACAACACAAGCACTTGTCGTTTGTTCAATTCAAATTTTGTGATTCATAATCATTATAGTCATGTTTATTAAAGTTTCTCATTCCGAAAATGTTTAGTTACGAATTCTTTTACCATTGACGACAAATGCTCTTCAGGCGACCAGTTCATCCTTGTCACTTACAATTGCACGCACATCAATTTACAACAATTACTTTCCCGAAACAAATTCATATCCCACGCGCAGACATAAAATGCTAGGAAACTTCTTGAACGAAGTTTCCTTTTTTTGGATTTCGATTGGGTTTGTTTACGATTGTTTTGTTGCATGTGTTGATTTTGTTAATGCGTGAAGAGGCAAAAGACCCTTTTGAATGAAGGCCGGAAGTTAAATTGTGCTGAATTGATTCTCAAACGATAACTGTTGGCCGATTGTAAGTGAGCAACAAAAAATACATCAAAAAAGTAATCAAATAAAACTGAACATCGATTTGCCTTTTTTCGGAAATTGAATAAAAAAATGGAATGTAGTGGTAGTAAAATAAAAACATTTTATATTTTAGTACACCCCATTCTTTGTATATATTTGTGCTCAATCCTTAATCCCGCTATTGATTAGTTAGACTCATGGCAACAATGATATTTGACAAAAAAAATGCATACAGAAGCGAAAAACCTTCAACAAAATTAAACTATCACAACGTTCAGGATCGAAGAATGATGATTCTTGTAATATATCAAGCATATTTGTCATGTCAAATCAAAATAAAAAACACATTCAATTACTGAACTGAATGCAATGAAAATGTCATGAACGAATTCAAAAGAAGAAGCTAAAATGAACTATATTACATTCTCGCAATAAATTGAGCGCTTCCAAAGCAACTTCAGTCACGAAATGTCGCACTTGCTTCAATTCACAAATGCAAAATTTTTTCGGGCGTAATATCTTCGGTGGAACTCTTGTTAATGTTATTAAGTAGTTTTCTAATTTCTAAAGAATAAAGTTCAAGTAATACCCTTCATCTTGGATCTAGAGATCATGTCTAATAGTATGGAATTATTAAATATCAGAAAAAGAAGCATATTATTTTTATTCCTAATATTCTTATTTTTGGATTGAAACGAGTTATATTTGGGAACTTTAAAATAGATCTACCATAAATTCAGTATCTTAGCTACGGTATGGACATGAATGTGTTTTCACTTCACATATTCTGAACGATGGAACATTACTGAAAATAATAATGTGAATAATGTCTTCACGCTTGGAGAACATATTACAATAGTGGATGGCGATTATTTGCATGTCATTGGCCAATTCACATACTAATGTTCTATCTTATTGAAAAGACATTGATTGTATGTACTGTACTATCTATTATAAAGATGAAGGAAGAAAAACACGTCTAGGGTGAGTAAAGCAATCGTTTGGACCGGTCACTTGAGTGGAAACTATAGATAATAAAGATAAACCATTTAACAAATCATATATCGAAAAGATAAGGTTTAGGAAGATTTATACATCCGAAATTGCTATTTTATCGCAATTTTTCTAAAAAAAAATAAAATTTCTCGTTCATATTCATGTTAGCAACTTTATCCACTTTGAAACTGTAAAAAAACACTTTAAATTTATTTTTAAACATTTGTGTAAACAACAACGCATGTTACTCGAATTATGTTGCAGTCCATTTAACTCCGGAAAAGTTCCCTTCACTATAGTTTTCAAGATCAGCCTATTCAAAGCAGCAAATGAATACATCCGAAAACTCAGACAACCAAAAACTACAAAAAAATACAAGTTTGAAATTTATTTTTAATAGATTTAATGTTGATGGTAATTTCCATTTGTATTGTCCTGGTAATCAGTAAGTCTTGGTATTGTTCCGTACGACTGAAAAATTGCAATGGTAATTCCGGTAGCGAAGCATTGCGAAAAACATATAATTCGTTCAGTGTAATTTGTTTGTTTAGTGCATTTGGGCTTTCGTTAGCGGTCGTTTGGGATGATTTGCCATGAAATGTAATTTCGCAAACGATAAATTTTTTGTTGCTATCAAATGATTTACAATGGTTAACATTGGTAATGGAAAAAGGGACAACGAAGAGTTCAAAAAAGGGGTAAATGTTGTGCATTAGGATAGCCCAAAGGAAAAAGAAATGTGAACGTGGAGGCGGAATGATTGTGGATGCACAACATTTATTTTGCTCGAACCATTTCACTTGACGACACAATCTCGTTCACCGTCGCCGATCATTAATGATATCTCAACATTTTTCGTCTGTATTATTCAATGTCCTTTTTTGTTCTATTTCATGAACCTTGGGTTTTTTTATATAAAATTATTCTCAGTCGTAGCGTTTTTTAAATGTCATGCTATTATCAAACAGAAGAAATTACTTATCTATATTGAGAATTGAATTCGGGTCATCAGGTTAATTGTTTGAGAACCCCCATTTTTGGATGAAACAACAAAAACAACGAATGATTCAATAAATACCGTTTTACCAGAAAAAAGAAAGAAATCCAAATTGATTTGGAACACGTCTCTCAGTCAGTAGAAGAAGCACAATGGTGCAGAAAAGTTTTGAATGTTAAATGTTTTTGACGAAATCGAGAATTGTGTATCCTTTTGTAACAGAAAAATCAATGTTTTTTTATTGGATTTGGTTTTGAAAGTTCAGTTAGATTGATTTAAATAAAAATATGGATACGCAAAAACATTTTCACACGCTCAATGCTTCCGCTGCCATCGAAAGTGCATAAATTAATGAATACATGTGCGGAAACACGTTTCACCACAGTCACTCCATTAACCTAGATTGGAATTTAATGAAATCAAATCAGAATTTCAATCTAGATCAATTAGCTTGTTTGAGAGCGAAAAGCAAATAAAATGTTACATCATTATAGCAAAAGCCAAATTGAAATTGAGAATTCGCCGCTAATAACCAGCAGAATCATTCTTGGGGTTTGTGGTCACGTGTCACGGTCATAGGAGGTAGCTCGGGGAACTCAAAAAATAAACGATTGTGTTGTGCTGGCATTACCCATGTATAATGCGCTTCAACGCCCCGACTTTTTTCTAATATGAATGCTATTGAACTTCTCCATTCCACACTCATTCTTCGAATCAAACATGTATCGGGAATTGTTTTAAATACTGACTATATGTGATATCCGCTCAAACTCGAAATTTTTGAAGCATTTATATATATAAAATTTCTGAGCTTAATGTATGTGACGAAGGATTGAGCTACTGGCTGCAGAAATTCATTTCTTTTTTTTGTGATGTGTTGGGGACCTCATGAGTAAGGTTTGTATCTAATTGCCATGTGTGTCTGATGTTTGAATAAAAAAATTTAGTCGTTTGAAAAATAGTCATATTTTTCCATAGTTTTTCGAAGTTTTTGTTTTGAAAATAGCCGATTTTCATTGTATTATTGCTACTCTGTTAATTTGTGAGAAATTAATATGGTTTGTTTTAAAAAAATTAGACAAATTTAAAAATTCATCAGTCACATATACAGAGAATGCGTTGGGCTAAAGAAGAGGCGCGCGTGCAGAAGTGAGACCATAGAAACGAAACGAACGCGACCCGCGTGAGAGTTAGAGAGGGAGAGAGGAAGAGAGTCATCGGGGGTGTGCGTGCACTCTGCATATCAGAAAAACAGGGCCATAGGCCGGCCAATTTTGATGTTCGAAATCGTCAATAGTGTTTTTAAGATAAGGAAGAGTTGCTATGAATGCCGGTTTGGCAAAGAATCAAAGGGAGGTTATGTTCAATACCACAAAACATAGAAAAGTGTCAAAATTCAACTGTATTTGCACCGGGATAGTCCCGATCAAACGTCAAACCAACAACGCCGCACATTTTGACGGCAACGCTTCGGAACTGCATTGATGAGTGTATTGAACACGTAATAGCAGTACTTAAACAGTGAATATTGTCTAAATTATTCATTTCTTTATGCCCAGCGAAGCGTGCGGGGTCCAGCTAGTTATTATACATAATATAAATATATTTATATTTTTTCCACACCCCTGATTTTACGTCCCGCTATACATTCAAACCATCAAATGACAAGCTGATAGTGACATCGCAATGTAACAATAAACAATGTAAATCATACTTATTCTCCTTTATTTTTTCTACTTTTGTGTGATTTACGTTGTCGCAGTCAGATATAGCTCCAGTATCATAAGAGAAAAGAATAAAGACATGATATTCCGTCACAAGACTATTATCTCTTAGCCGGTGAAAGTGTAAATCTATTATTGAGCCAAACGAGAATGTGAAAGCCATAAAAATAAAATGTAGAAAACATACGTTCTTCCTCCTTCTTTTATTCACAAAACGTAGGTTAAAAGCAATGCGACTGAGGCGAGAACACCACCATGACATGAAATTAAATACCGTTATTGCCGAGTCGTAAAAGATGCAATATTCGATGAAAATTGTTGAATCCTCGCCAAACAATGATCCTTCATTTTCATTAAAACGGATTGTAGGCTTGACGTATTGATGGGTTTTTTAGGAAAAAACTGTAAATACGAATGGTAACAAAATTTCGATCCGATTACAATAACAACAACTTCAATTGATAATATATCATCATTAGATAATTTTGCTTGTGAGCAAATATAAAGTCATATCCGGTATTTTTTATACTCGTTGTGACCTGTGGCGGCACGTTTCATCTAATGGAAGTTTCAGTCAATCAACGTAAACGATCAACACGCAATGGTCGAATTCAGTGAGAAATTCGAAACATTTTGGTTTTTTGCTCCTACTTCATGAATTTACATAAAATACGAATTGATTTTTCTCGGTTTTTTTTCTTCAAGTCAATGAATGATGGCAAACTTAAAAGGAGGACTATGTATCTTATTCATTGTTTGAAAAAAAAACTTTCTTATTTTGCTATACCATACGTCAATTTTTCCACCGACTACTGTCTCTTCTCTCCCATTGGGAGACTCCCAAAGTGGCTCAAATTCAATATCGGATCTCTTACTTTAAGCTTAAAGAACATTTTTCACGTTCCATGACAATGAGTCCGATTCTTCAATTCTTTTGTAAAATGATTTTCTACGATTGCAATCCATTTACAATTTACTATTTCCGGTGAGTCTTTTTCTTTTTTTTTATCTTAGCCTACGTTCACGTCGGAAATAAAATGAATGAATGTCACTACGACAAGCCCTTTCGCAGCACATTTTCGAAGCATAATAAACGAAAAGTCAAACAATAACATATAATAAAAGCCGAAAATACAAACGCAAGAGAGACGCATGAATACATGAACAAAAAACTGAAGTACCAACCGAAACCGTAAAAAGCAGAATCTTTGCTTGTTGTCTTTGAGACTAGACCATGTTATCCATGTAATTTCGATACTGCTCTCCAAATTTGTGCCGTATTTTGATTTATATTCAATCTATTGTTTGCAAAGCATTTGGAACACTCGTACCACATTTTTTGGCTTTTTTCTTCTCCTTTGGTCAATGACATGAATGGAAATACACAACACAATTGTCCTTTTCAAATCGATACTGCTATTCAGTTCACTAATACATTCGAAAAACTATTAGTAACTAGTTAACTAATTCGATTTCGACTGCAGAAATTGTCGAAAAATGAATGAAATCGGAAATGCTTTGAAATTAAGGGAAAAAAAATCCAGCATTCTCAATTACAATAAATATTGGGCTTTCCTATTCCTGTTTATGCTATGTTCACGTAACGTAGTGATTTCGATGTGTCCTTTTGTTCTGTTAGTAAGTATTGGTTCTTTGTGCACAAATTTAAGAAGTCAATGAATGGTTAAGACCATGTCAATGCTAGGATGCTCTTCCGAAGGGTAATGGTGAAATTTTCTTCATCGTCTTTATCGTCGGCGGCGGCATGAAGTGAGTCTTCGTTTGATTTGCTTCCATGCTCATTCAGTCACATGGAGTCATTTTTTTCATACAGAACAACACAAGGTATCTATCTATCTGCATTGATGTTATTTATACATTCAACTATTATTATTATTATTATTATCATTATTTATGTCGCATTATTTTATTATCTGCGAAAAACTGAATCGACTGCGAAACTACATAGATGAATGAAAAAAATATATAAGAAAATTGTAAATTGTTATAAAAGGAGTATATAAGTATACTTTAAAATCATAAATCGGGGAATTCGAGAAAATTTTGATGAATATGCAATCCAAATATAGCCTGTAAATGTATGAAAAAGTTTTCGGAATTTTTTTTCATTCGTTTTAATCTATTTGAATTATACATTTCTATAGGCAAAATCGAAAGCAGTGTATGTTTCACTGAATTTGTTATGAAAGAGAAGAGTAAGTTTCTTTCGACTTAAAAATGGTAAAAGGCAGGTATGTTCAAATGCTTGTATGTATACATACCTATAGGCATGTTTTTAGGTGCGCGATTTGTACGAAACTGATAAGAGTGATTTGTCTTCAACAAAGCAGGACCTCGAATGCTACTACTTTGCCGAAGAGACTAAGCCGTTATCACTTATCAACTCCGCGAGAACAGTGAATTAATCACCACAACCCAAGGGATGTAGACATACTCTACTTTAACGCCAACAGAATCATCAGAAAACATACTTGCAATTTAAAAAATATAAATCGAAGAAAAAACATACTCTACCTCGATCTCAGCCATAGATTTATACGAATACATAGGAACATTTGAGTTGGCATACTGAATGGCTTAAAGAGAACGATGTAGAAAATCTCCTGGAACTGATTATGAGACGAGAAGCAGGAAGTATTTATAGCAAGCATGTAACTGTTTCAAATGAAATTAAAAACCCACAGATTCCGACAATTGATTTATATTTTCAAATTATTACTTTTGATTTGTTGAACTACATTAATAACTAGATACATAATGATTTTGTAAGTAATAAAATTACAATAATATACAATTCTTTAACGATATTGATTCAGAAAATGAAGAAAATTTTGAGTAAATGTATCAACGTTTTATGACGATTACACAACAATTTTTTCAATCCAATCTAAAAATTGTAAACTTCTGAAGATCAAATTCGGTAAAAAGTGTACGCAAACGTATTTAATCTATACAGTTTTTGGATTTAAACTGAAAATATATTATTTACCTAAATTTCATAGTATTTGAATTCAAGTCAATCATTAAATAAATGAATATTTCGATCAATATTTTTCATTTATACAAAACTCTATCAAATAAAGTTTGTTTCTATTTCCTATTTTCAATATTTGTTATTGCGAAGAAAACCAGTGTACATTGATCGTTGTTGATGAACATGATGTTCGAGATGTTATTTCATTGCAACAACGGTTATTTCATTGCAACTCTCTCTAAGTAGATGTTCTCTGTAGTGGAACGGTTTTTAAATCTACCACCAAGCACGCTGATGTGCATGCAATAGTGACGGATGTTGATATGGATTCGGGGGTAGAACCATGTGAGCGTTATTTGCAACTGCCATAGCAAGATCTTGTTTTGTACCATTCAGACATGGTTTTCCATCTCTTACCAATACTGGAACGGCCACCCGACGAGGAGAGGATAGCGTACTGGTTTGATGATGCTGTGGATCGTAAACTCCCTTCTCAGTTTGAGCGCGTTTTGTTTTGTAACGATGATTTTGGAACCAAATCTTTACTTGGGTTGGGGTTAAATGAATTTGACTCGCCAAATGTTCTCGTTCCGGGGCTGATAGATATCGCTGTTGACGGAAACGTCTCTCCAGTTCAAAAGTCTGATGTTTTGAGAAAAGAACACGACGCTTGCGTTTTTTCTGCATTCCAGAACCAGTACTGCTACCATTTTGCTGCTGAGATCCACATAAATCATCCGCGAGATCATCATCAGCATCGATATCATCAATTTCATCCATATTTTCACTTTCGTTTCGATCATGATCACTTTGTGATTGACGATCATACATAACAAGCGATGAAACATCTTGTGAAATTGGCGGCAGTTTATTGGAAGAATTAATCAAATGTGATGCGGTATAATTACCAATAGCTGTGTATGATACCTCAGACGTTACCGGTGATGTGCTATCTGGGCTGGCTTGTTGTTGACTTGCTACAAATTTATACAAAGATAGAGAAATAAATATTTTGGGTCAGAAAATGTGTGTTTAAATGAACAAATGAAATTTTTTTTAGAGTATATGTATATTTCTAGTTAGCCACAAATTATGAAATTTGGCAAGTACGCATCTTGGGGTGTTTTCAATTGATATCGGAAATATATTACATTATTTTCATTGTTTGATCGGACGCAACATTCAATTTATTGCTAAAAGGCATCTTTTGTTACTGAATAAATTGTTGGTTAAAACGTTTTCTATTCTTTCAGTCGTTTGAAATATTTGCGACAATAAAGTTTAAGCCAGATGTATGTATGGCATACATTGTATGCATCATGAGATTTATTATCGCGATTGGTAGAAAACAAAAGTGCAATTGATGGAAATCACGCCTATGCCACACCTCTATATGTGGTCATGAATTTTGTCTGCCGAATTTTTTTAGAAGTGCACAAAATTTATATCTGTGGTATGTTCTATATTGAAACTTTACATTTCAAGATACACGACAGTAAGCAATATTGTAAAAGCTGTATGTATTCCGTATGTCATATTTTCTACTACTCTTTGATATTTTCGCATATGTGTATATGAAAAAAATTATATATTCTAGTTGTTAAGACTCTCTCAACTTGAGAGTTGCTTCAAATCAAGAGCCATACTCGAAATCATCTCTGAAATGTGATTCAAATAACTGCAGAATAAAGGGGTTTTTCAAACATATGGATAATAATTGTGTAGAAGCTTTGATTTCATTTAATCCGCAGCAATTTGTCATTGGGTTTTAACTGCATGCCACTGCTGTTTCCTATTGCATTTCTTGAAACGCCAAACCCTCTTTCATATATTGCATTTTTCCCTATCTTTGTTGCCTCATTGTGGGTTAGTTTTCGTTTTCGTGGTGGAAATTATCTCCCTTTAATTGAACTTCACACTCTCACTGCAACGCGCCCATTATTAAATACAAAATAAAAGTCCTTTGTGCCAGAGTGTTCATGAGTCAGAGTAATCTCTTCTGTGTAACGTAAAACTAGCGTAGAATTCAATTGTCGATGACAAAATGAATGGTCGATGTTATTTCGAATAACACAACTCCAATTTGTTGTTTATAAACTACATCTAAACTGTTCATTCCCAGTATAGATGACAGCGTTAGGATTTAACTCGGCAGATGTGCGTATAAATTTCATTGCAAATGTATTTACGCTGTGTGAAGAACATCCCAAATTTTGTGAACAATATCATTCCATTTGACGATTTCACTTCCACAATTCAATTGGCCATTTAATAAGTTGGCCTGATAACAAAAGAATGGATCTACTTCGATTGTAGTAGTCGCGTTCATACAATATAGGTCAAATTTGAATTTCTCAAATCTAGTGAATCCAGCTATTTATTGCATATATAGTATCAATTTGATACATAAAAATAACGAAAATCAAGTTTGGCTTTTTAGCTATTACAACTTATCATTATCCTGATTAAATGTCATGAAGAAAAACATACCGTATTGCTCGTGTTCTTTGAGCCATGATTTCGTAGCGGTAGCCGATGGAAACATAGACTGATAATGATGGCCCAATTCGGAGTAAATTGCACTGCTTAGGTTGGGTGTGAGTTGATATGGTGGCGGAGGCACCAGTGACGATGAACCGGTTGATGCAATAGATTCATTGAGATTTGTAATCGAATCTCCATCTCGGGATGCGGGTGGGCTGGTTTGTGGTGGAAACGATGTGTTTGAGCTATTGTTGTTATTACTAGTGCTGTTGTTATTGTTGTTATTTTGATTTGTTTTATCCGCAGATTGATTATTCAAATCCAAAATATCACAAATATGAAAGCTGCTGCGTTGTCCTGGTACTTTCATACTGTCCAATAATCTGTGAAATATAGTCAAACGAAAATTAATAAATTGGTGAATATTCCACAAATATCACTCAAGTAGCAAGAATGAACGTTTAACCAAATGAGAAATGATAAAAAATAGGTTTTTTCATCGGATCATACTTGTCACTAAATCTTTTGCTATAACAAGTTTTCTTTTAAATTTTCTATAATTTCAAACCATTTGTTTGTACAAGTACATTTATTTGGGAGAGTTCTTCAACCACAAGGATGTACATGCAACGATATTTCTGAAACAATGTGAAATATCGCACAAACTCTTGCAGCTTCAAGAACAAAAGCCATGTCAACATCTGGAAATACTTAAATACGAACGTTTTTTCTGGTATTCTCTTATTCATTCTATACTTTCACAGCAATTTCTATTGGCAGCGTCAAGAATAGTTCCTCACTACCTTGCTCAAACGTTGTATCCGATGTGCGGTGAAGCTACATCGTCGCCAAGTTGTCTGTCAACAAATTCACACGCTCACGCACTTCTTGAGATGGTATTGATGCACACGAAGAACTGTATTGCTTTTATTTTCTAATAAAAATAAACTATAACAATTTCATGTCTTTCACACTTTTTCAGCATTCTATTGGAAACACTCAATACGCATTTGTACAAATGGTTAAACATAAAAGAACCGACAAAAGTTCAAGATAAAAGTCAAAATAAAATGGTAAACTGAATACTACAACAAAGACGATTCCCAAAAAAGGACCATGCGAAGAAGAATAAAACGGAAATTCCCGAATAAATTAGGTACAAACAAAAGACTTGAAAAGGTGTAATAGATTTTGCGTGCAAATTATCCGTGTTATGGCTAATACTGATTTTGTTTGTGTTACTGTATTTTTTTATATACATATATCATAAAACAAACGATGGAAAATCGAAGTTCAAATGTGTAATTTATGCGGGAAATTCCCAGTGAGTACAGGTTTTTTTCTACCACATTTGTTTTCAAGGTAAAAGATCAAAATGAATTTTTTGCACCGAAGAAAAGTTTTGTCTTTCTCTGTGTGTTACTTTCTCCGTGCCAATAAGTTACAAGTAAGGTGATGTGAATACCAATTGTTTCAGCATTTCGATTGTGATGGAAATGATCAAATATAGGATTTCAGTTCTAAGAATGAGACAAAGAGATAAAATCCTGAAGAATTTTTTGGTGGATACTAATCAACACAAAGACTCAAACCGAACACTTGAGGTAATATTAAAATAATGTTATTTACTTATTGAATTTTTGAACGAATATATTTTCCGTACATTTTTCATTCTGTATCAGAAGTTGAATATGGAAATTTTTTTTGTACAATTCGAATTTTTTTCATTATGAAAATTCAAATTATCCGAAAAAGACTACAGAATAAACAGATTTATCTACGAACCCTGGTAGTGATCGAAGTGCCGCCGGGTATAAAGCAGCAGGGAAAAGAGCGGGTGCCAAAGAGCCCCAAGGTGGCAATAAAATTGGAGACCATGTTAAGAATGGGGCAGATGGTGGCATAATGCCACTAAATTGTGTCGAAACAGGAGGAAGTGATGCTGGATTGGTGATGTGATCCTCATTGGCAGATGTTTGTCGTGTTGGTGATGGTGACGGTGAACACCGTCGTTTTTTGTTGTTGTCGGTCGCCACGATTGCCAGTTTTACAACTTTAGTATTACAAATTGCACAAAAACTCACAATAAACAATTAGTTCTATGATAAATTTCAATTTAAATTTTGTACGTGTTCTGTTTATTCCAAGTATATTCACTTCAAAATCGATGTCTAAAATTTTTATGAAATTATCACTTGAATGCACTAAATTCTAGTCGCACCAAATATATAAATTTTACATGAAAAATGAAAAAAACGCTCTCAGAATTGGAAACAACCGCTTCAGACGATACTAAATTTTTGACTGTCGCACCTAAAGTAGTCAAACACTAAACATAAGTGGCACTCTGCACTCAAAACGATTTTGGTGTTGTTTTTTGTTGGTGTTGTTGAAAACTATACTAGGTCTCTGAGCCTTACGGTTGTTGTGTTAAAGTGTGTTATAAAAATACGGCAAGGATAGCAAATGCTGTACAGTTTTCGTATTGATGCGCATCAATACAAGCATAATATCTGGAGGGTTGTAACAAAAATTAGGAACTGTATCTTGCAGTTGTGTGTGCGAGCATTGCATTTGCGATGATGGCACTCCAACCAATCAACTTTTCAAAGTGAAATTTTCATTCATTGAATATTGTGAATGCCCTTGGAGCCTTGTGTTTTTGTCTTAAAATAGTACGATAAGCGTAACAGAAATAAGCCAACAATATGAAGGAAAATCTGGACGAATATAAAATGAAAGAAATCAACAAAGAAAAGTGCTGGAAATTTGAGCCAAAAGGCATTCTTGTATAGAGCGAATATAGGACGAAGCAAAGAAAGAAAAAAATGAAAAAACAAAACCCCGATGGGTTGAGTCACCTCATTCTCTCACTTACACACAGACACACATACACACACATGTTTGAAATTTATCGCACCGCCCCTCAAACTGGATTATATTATATATATCGCTGATGGTATATTCTGTGTGACATAGAATTATGATCCTTGATGTACTGCGGGGCGATTGGACGACGAAACAACATTCGTGTTGGCACAGAAGTATTCGTTATGCGCACAACTCAATCGCCGTCTGTTCTAAGTGGCCTAGTAACATTAAATAGCGTTCCGTGTTTTCAATGACACACGCACACACTCCAAATTATTCTTTTTTATTTTCATTTATGGACCTAATGCTGTCACAATTCAAAGAAATTTTACATGGTTTCATTGATTTAGTAAGTTTACTTTATTTATTTATTATCACCGCCAAGCGCTAACCAAATCGTTTTATTGTTGCAGGAAGAATGAATCCATTTGCATTTAAAAATGAAAAAATCTTGATCTTTTCGTACCAAGAATAAACAATTTTATTTGATAACATTCCAACAAATTATCTAGGATTGATAAATAGGTTTTTTTCAAATACCACTCAATTTTGTGTGATTTCTGCGGGAGAATTTGGTAGAAAAAAGCATTTTTAAATGCCTTTATTTTGCAGCTTGATTATTTGTAACCATAGATTTGCTCTCTAATTATCGTAGCTAGTCGCATATATTTTTGAAATAAGATTCAATGAATGAACAAAATATCATGTAGATTTAGTGGTCAATTTTCATATGCATGATTATGATAAAACATATTTTTTTCAATCTATGTGGGAGGAATTGGGAGCAAACCTTGTGCCTGTGCCGTTCCATTTAAAATTTCGGACCATTTGCATTGTGAACTTGCAAAAAGTAAACAACGAACACAATATTCTCTTTATTTGTACGGGGCAAATGAGAAAATGCGTTGCAATGGAAAATCGGAACCCAACCATCGCATAACATGAAATATATATTTGTCATTTGAGAAATGCTCATCTTCCTATATAAACGAGAAAATTGGATTTTGATTCAATAATAGTAATGATAATGATGAAACGTTGTAATGGTGTCGTGGTTTCGGAACAATTCTTGCATACATGTCGTTGTTTAACGCTACTTTTACTATAGTCGAAGTTCGCTTTTTGTCCTGATTTTAATAAGGTAACTTCAATGTACCCTTAATATTGTTTGCGATAAATACATGCGCTGTACAACTCTAATGCTCCATCCAATCCTGTTTCTCCGTTCTTCGACAGTAATGATGCTTGCAACAGCTAATGAATTACAATGAACAATCCAAAAGCAGCAACGGAAAACGTGGAAAAGCGGCCGTCACGCAGAGACCAGAATTCATTATCAAGCATCGAAGCGTATATTGTGATGAGCTATTATTATTATATGCTTTTACTTTTCTGATTCAGTTAATTATTTTCATTATGTAACCGGAAAGGTTAATATAATCATTGCTGTATACATTATTGCAAAATCACACAAAAATGTGTACCAATTTTCAAGTCGGCTTTCTAAAAAATAGAGCGCAAGTTCGCATTAGATTATTTGATTGGCTCCGGAAGTTTATTAGGTTTGACGGTTCCATCATTGTTGAAACTTTATATGTGGATATTAAATCTCCGAATGATATTTTAATCTGGATGATAAATTCCCTTGTAAAGAAATATTGACTACAGTACTATTTGTACAGTACTATTACTACCGTAATAGTTACGTACTGATTGTAATACGTACAAAATATAGACAAAATGTTCTAAAATAGTTAACGTTAACTGTGGCAATCACTAGTCACACATAAAATATTGTAAAAACACGAGAAGGTCAGGTTTTTCATGACTTTTTGGGTCATTTTCCTGCAAAACTGAATATTCAGCCAGTTTTTTGGCGGTGTGTAAATAAATACGTATTCACGAGGATTTCTTTTTCATCCACATATTTCAATATTATTATTCTATGTGCATAGTTTTTATTGAACTTAAACATACATGAGAAGATAATATTCAAAATTGATCATTGTGTATACATTTAACAAATGCAAATTTGCAACAAACTATTCTACTTATAAGTTCATGAATGAATCAAATAGAATCGAGAAAAACACCTGGATTTATAACACCAAATTGCGTGTACAGGGAAACATGCAACATTTACACTCATCCACAATCAATCAGAATTGCCATTGATTGTGTAAAAACGAAAGGAATTTTTTTTTTTCATTGTATTCAATGTTCAAAATCAATAGTTCCTCCCCGCACATACATATATATACTTTGCGCACATTCGATATTATTTAAAGTTTATGTCCCATTGTGGGCAAAGAATGTGAAATGAACAGTTTACTGTAGCCAAAGGAACAATTAAAGCGCTAATACTAGTTTACACACCAAACAATGAATTCGGTCCATTCAATTAAATATCAATTTATTATCAATGAGACGTTACACTAGGAGTGTAAAAAATACACTTTTCTTGAAAGTTTTTATTTTACTGACGATATTTATGCCTTAGTTGAAATTCCATAAAGTTAAAGAATTGTTTAATTCAACATGATTGTCCATATGGCATTTGGTGCTTGTTATAATTGGTTTTTGTATTTTACAGAAGTGCAATGTTCCTTGCTAGTAATTCATTGCATCTCTGTGATTCGGCAGTTTTCAAACAACAACGAGCCGGAAAAATTGAATAGATCAAAAAGATTGGAAGTCTGAATGATCTCATAGTTCCGTTCCCATTTTACGTGTTTTGGTGTTGCTCTTTCATTGTGCAATCATCTATGTCCGTATTGGGTGTTTCCGTTCCAGTTGTTGTTTTTATCTTTGTTCAATACAAACAAAAGTCATAGTGAACAAGATACAAGATGAATTGTTTTATGAGCCTACGTTGAGCATGGGCATTGTAATGTTAGCCTGAGATTGCTACCAATGCAAGTTTCAAGCATTATGTCGTATTTTCTTCTGTTTATCGAAGGCGACAGATCGTCTACCGTGTAATAATTTTTCTGATCTAATTATTGAATACTATTACCAATCTTCAAGTAATATCGAATGTATTTCACCAATTTTTTTTTTTAAACATGTTCAAACATGTACAGTAAAAATGTTATACGTAATAAAAAATTAATTGTATGAAAAATTTATGAAATGCCATCAATGTTTTCAATATCAATATATTTTGTTTGCTGTTCTTCTAAAAAAAAAAGTCAAAGAATATATCTGTCGCCCATTTGGTTGCTTATTTTTGTTTTATAAATCAGTAGCACGACAAACAGTTACTATCTTCCAATGACTTTTCAATATAAAATAATATTGTTCGTATCTATCATTTCTTTGACATGAGATTCGTTCTTATCAGTTAGTGTGCGCAAATTCTTATCATGTATGGATTTTAAAACGATGAGAACAATAGCTACGACTCAATCACCTGTAACAAAATGAGTTCAGATTGTGTATCAAAATATCAACATTCAATTTATACCATTTCTTTTCATTGTTTCCATTGCGCAGCGATGTTTTCGCCAAATGAAGACCGATATAGCAATTCGAAAGAGTAAAAAAATCATGAAATGAATGTTTTTTCTCTACTGATAAGTTTTTTCTTCTATTCGTTCACTTGATTAAGAATTTGTTGGCTATCGGTAACTTAAAGCAATAAATTTTATTCGTTTCTGTATGTACTGTTTTTTATTCTTTTTAGGTTAGTTTGGATTCTCTACGATTACATTAGGAAAATCAAATTATGAAATTGGTTAGTTGATTTTGACGGGATATGGTATAGTTTCAGTTTATTCTAATACGATCATTAAACTACTGAAGACGATAAGACGAATATGAATTAAAATAGAATCCCAATTGGAATGTGATGATAAGTCGCGCTATTCACTGGAATCTTCTCCATGTATAGTCATATAGGAAAAAGAGATTTATTCCTTTTAAAATGTGATTGGTTATCTAATTGGATATGATCGAAAATGGGAAACAAATGGAGATATTTCCTATGCATGTTCACCCATTAAAAGCCATAGAAACATTCAACCAGTATTATATAAGGCTATTTATTGCCGGAAGCATGGAATTCCGTGCTCGTTGTTAGAATGAACGAACAAAACGGAACGAACAACTCTGAAATTATTCAATAAAAGCATTTCACTGGACACAAGTAACAAAAAAATGCACGAAATGTTGACGTCTATTCAGAATTGGGAAAAACACTCAATTCATAAATAAATGAAATACCCATTTAATCAAATTAAAATACTTCCACATGTTTCTAAAGATATATAAAAGTAGTAATATGGGATTAATACATATCTTTCATTTTTTCCATGATTGCTTCTTATATTTTCGATGTTTTAATCTCCATTGCCTTCAATAGTAGCAAGTAAACAATTTTTTTGAAAACTGTAATCAACAAAATCACAGAAAAGAAAATATGGTTCATCTATTTGTTCGATGATGTGTAGATGTGTGTAGCCAATAATGATGACTAGCATTTTCAAGAATAACTCCCGGATATAAGATTTGAATAATTTCCGATTTCCATTTGTTAGGATTCAGGTTCACGAGAGAAAATGAAGAATCCACAGTAACACATGCACTATTTATCGTATGATTAGCACTAGCTATCCTTTGAGAAGAAAAAAATACATACAATATTTTTGAGCTTATTTCAAATGTTTTGTGTTCCTCACTCGCCAATTAGTTTCTTATGAATACGAACATATTAAGGAACGAATATCGAACAGATGACATGTTTGTGACTTGGACACCGAATGTATATTTAAAGTAACAGAATTATCGTCTCAAGAAGAAAAAAACAAAATAGTATTTACGATTCCATCCACATCAAAAGAATTTGGTCACAAAATTGGTTTGTAATTGTTTGAAATTTGTACACCGAACAATTAGTTCGAATTACCAAAAAGAGAATATTTGCACGTTTTTTTGTTAAAAACCGAGGCCCCGGGATCGGGCTAAAAATGCCAAATCAATACAGATGTGAAAAAGAAAAAGTGTCAAAAAGTACCATAAATACCAGTAATAGTTTCATTCATGTATATTGCCAATAATCCCAACTAATCTCATGCATAAACTACAACAATGGAAGGCCGAAGATATTTATGTCAGCTGGCTTGAAAAATAAAAATTGAACATACTGAAAAAAAACATTCGGAAGAAAGGTTGAATTACTTACTCATCGAATCAATTTAAACGATACAAAATAATTTGAGTTTGGAGGCATTTGCGAACAATTGTAGAAGGCGAACGTACAAACATACCTCAGACACCAGCCACACAATGAGAACAAATGAGATAAAACCGTACCAAATGAAATAACATAAACATATCAATAAACACCAATCCAGATTTGTTGTTGAATATAGGATATCGTGGGAGATCTCCCACACAAATTGTCGCTTGTGCTATCTAACGATATGTTTATTTATTTGAAAGTAAATAGTGTATCTTATTGTGATTTAGGGTCGCTTTCACTCGGGGAGTAACGCTACACTAGCCAATAGAAAAGAATGTTTGGAAGCTGAATGTGCAATTTCGAACTACAATCACTTATACTTGCCCTGATAATCAAGGATTGATAGCTTGTTTCCGCTTAGTTCTTTGTTAAAAAAAACATCCGTGATATGTGTCGACTACTGAGTCAAACAAAATAGGGCCGGGCCAGTGGCATAAACTCTGTGAGTATTTGAGGCTTTAGATGAATTCAATTTTATTTTTTAATAAATAACAATGAAGTCAAATGAAATGTAAAATAAAATGCAAATTTTGTCCTAAAGATACGTGCAATATCTCGAAAACGAAGCATTCTATGCATATTTTTCCGACCTTTAGGCTACCAACTCCACGAAATTTGCCGCCCGATCGAATATGACTTGTCTCAATTTTCCCCGATCTTCAATTTTCCTTCTATGGCGATTTCCTCATTTTCAAAATTGTTTCCAAGATTTTCAATTTTACGGAAAATGTTCATGAATTCGTTTTTAGTTTACATTCATACGTCCATAAAATGAAAATGGTTGGAAAATGTTGGAAAACTCGGAAAATATTAAATATTTTACATTAAAATGTACTGCGAATGACCAAATTTATTTTCATGAAGCCACATCCAGACTCCACTGCCTTCTTCAAAAAATATGGTCAAGCAGAAAACTTCTTTGAAATTTCCTCTTTCCATATCTGTAAACAACAATTTGCGTCAAACACAAGAAAAAATTCTACAAATCCTAATAGAACAGTACAGCTGGTAGCATTAGAATATAATGATGTTCGAATGAAATTTCTTTGAAAAATTATTTGTTCATAGTTTTGCTATCACAAATTATCGAATGAAATGAATGAAAACTGTTTCATGTGAAATACCGACGGCAGACCATTGTTCGCAGATAATCATTTTCAACACAGCGGTTTCTTGACAGTTCCCATATAAAATAGCCCCGAAGCGTCAGCTGGTGCTAGCAAGTGAACTACAAGCACTTCATATGTACTTTTTCACTCTTCTGTTAACTAATTTGACATTGATTTTGACATTTTGTTTGCAGCACACTTGATAACACCAGTTGGCGACAGCGATGAGAAGGTTATTTGAGTGTAATTCAACTTGATCAATACATTATAACAATTCAACAATGTGTTTTATATGAAGAAAATATTTTTTGAAGAATGCAAACGTCCATATTCGACTTACTCATATTCAGAAGCACCGTAGTCAGGTGGAATTAATTGCCATGTATCGTCATAAAATTCAAACCCGTGTGCATTTGACATCATAAATGTTACTGATGAATAACTTTCTACACTACTCAATGACGAAATTTGCAGGAAAATTTCATCGAAGGGTTAAAAAATAGGTGTAGCGTTTCGCTCACAAAAAATTTAATCGGTTTCACAGAACTAACTTTTATATCGAAATTTTTCGGAGGAAAAAAAATTATAAATGTAATAGAAGAATGTTCAAAGGAAAATATTATTAAAAACCGAAGCACCAAAGAAGTGAAGAGAAATTGAGCGACTAGCGAGAGAGTATAAAAAAATGTTCAGATAGAACTGAACTCTTCACACTGACCAAAAACAATTGGAAAACCAACGAGCATTATCGATATAATTGTTGTTATCGATTTGACAACATACTCAACTGTATTTGTGTTAGAGGTGATAATAAGTTCCAGATAAATTTCATTGTAATCGTAAATATGTTGTAGTAGTGATATGGTAGCGAACTGATTGATAAGGATTCCCGTTATTGATTTGGTTTCACGAATGCAAGTTTACCTATTTCCCATCCATTCTGTTTGATTTTAAATCTTCTTTCTTCAATCGTGGACTGATAAAAAAGGAGCACACTGTGTATTGCACACATATTCCTTATCTGTTTTGATTGTGATTTCTTCTAAATTTCAGTTGGTGGACATTTCTTAATACTGATTTTCAATGCCTTAAACAGATTAAAAAAACGCACATCATTCTTGCGCGCTATTTATCAACAGAAACGTGAGCGAGAAAGCTTTAGTTTTGGGCGTCCGAGGGAGAGACAGAGCTGGTTGAATGATGGC